GCTAAAACACTAAACAAGATTTAAAAGAAATCAAGACCAAAAATCATATTTGTAGCTCCAGAAGAATAGTTAACAGAAGTAATATATCAAATTAGCATTAAAGATGATTCACAATATAACAAGAAAATGTGGAAAAAGATAAAAAAATATCTTTTGGTGAAATGGATACATGGACTAAAGTCCCAATGGAACTTGAATACAAACTCATCACAGAACACAGTAACACCTAGACCGAGAGGTATCAAAAATTGGAAAAAAAAAAAGAAAGACATATTATTGAGAATACTAGAAAAGATCTTTGTAGAATATCTTAAAAATCAGAAGATCTTTAATGAAATATAAGAAAGATTCTTAGGAAGAAGACCAAGTTTCAAAAGAGAAAAGAAGAGTAAGAAGACCAAGAAAAGAAAAGAAAAAATTTTTATATCCAGAATATGGAAGAAAGAAAACTCAAGCAAACCGATCAAGACCCCAAAATGAAAAAAACTGAAAAAAAACTTAAGGTACCTGAAGAAAAAGAAAATGTATAGAAGAATATTCCTGGAAGAAACCGATAGATCAAACCCTCAAGCAGAAAAAAAAAAAAGTTTGAAGCTATAAACCAGAAAGGAAAAATTATAGAAAAGATCAAGAGAAGATTCTTAAGACCCAGGTTTCAAATTGAAAAAGACAGGTTGAACTGGAAGAGAAGGAAAAGAAAAAAGAAATATAAACACGAACGAGAGAATGTTGGCAATATCCCTGTGTTGAAAGAAGAAATCTTTTGATTTATTTATAGAAAATTAGATTTAGAACTTTGTTTAAAAAAGGTGGATAGGTTAGAAAGAGAAAATTGCCAATATAATGTAGTAAAAAATTCGTTCGTTTTGAAACTGTCTTGTAATAGTTTTCTAGGCTAGCTTGGTATAGCCTTCTGAAGTAGGCAATAGCCTTAACCGATAAGACAGACCGCACTTGGATACCTTTAGAGGTAACCGAGTGATATCAGATCTGTAACTTAGATAGTTTAATTGTATCTTGTGCAAATGCTTTGATTTAATAAAGATACTGGCAAGGCTGTTGATACATGCAAAAAAAAAATAACAGGTGGTTAAAATTTATAATATTAACCAGGGGTTAAAATTAGTTAAATTCATATTTTAATTATAGTATAACAAAAATAGTAAATATTATACTGAGTTGTTATATAATTAATAATAAATTTTTTATATTTACAATACTTTTTGAAAGGCTTATATGCCTTATTCTTTCTAAGAAATATAAAAAATTTTTTAAGAAAATAGAAGCTCACAATTTGCTTTATACATATTTCTTGAATCTTTATAAATCCCAAAATTTTGTAAATCAGTAATTTGATTGGTCGATCAATTATATTATACTATTTTGAGGTCCAAACACTGAGAATTTAATCTCCCATATTCGGATGGTCTCGATACATTTTGATAGCCAACGGATTAACTTGCAATTTTTATTGTGCTAACCTTTTTAAATATGCTCATTATGAAGTATGAAATTGAATAAACTAAATAGCCATATATATCATGCATCAGGTTAAAATTTGCGTCAGATTAAAATTAAATGCGGAGTTTTTTGGGGTTAGGCTGGGTGCCTATGTTGGACTTACAATGATTTTGACGCACAACATATATATTGTTGAAGAAAAAATGCCGATAATTCGCGAACTATTAAACAAATTTTCATTCCCTTCTAAGTCATATGTATGTTAGATACCTGATCAAGCTTTAGTAAAAAAAAAAAAAAACAAAAAAACGTATATTTTAGACTATGATTATGAAAAATTTTATGAATTTATAATTAGATAGTAATAAATCACCGAAGATAAGATTTATTTTCATTTATTATTTGTATCAGGAGTACATACTGTAGTAATGGGCGGATTTTTTTTTTTGCTTTACAAATAAAATATGGAATATTGGTGGCTACAAATGGATAACGATCCAAAGCATCAGAGCAATGTCAAAAAACATTGATTCGTGAAAATTTCCGAGAAACTCAACTGAACGTCTTATAGCCCGACACAATCCCAATCGAGGATCTTTGGTAAATGATTAAACATAATGTAGAGAAGTGTTGGCCAAAGAATTAAAGCAATACATAGTTGAGGAGGTCTTTTCAACCACACTATACGGCATTTTTTTTTTTTCATATAAAATCTATTTTTAAAATTTTAAAAAACTATAAATGAATGATTTCGAAAATTTTAGTTTATTTCTTGATCAAAATCCAGACAGAAGCCTGACAAACAAAATCTCGACAAAAATTTGATTCAAGATCATTACCAGGAAACCAGAGTAATATTTTTACGAAATATTATCTGCAAATTATTATCGATTTTAAAATACCATTCTTCAATTTACAGATATGATAGTAGAGGTGTGAACCGTTATTCATTGGATATCTAAATAATAGTAAATCCATTATATCTAATGAATAACGGTTCACATCTCTACAGCAATGCTGATTGGACATATGCTTATCAAACGAATACAGGTCACTCGTTATAATGAACTCTCGTTATAGTGAAGAATAGTTTATATAAAAACCCTCTCGATATACGACAGTGAATTTACTAATAGACTCTCGATATAGTGAAAAAATTTCAGCCCAATCACTTCACTATAACGAGAGTGACTATAATTAGAAGTTAGAAGATTGTCCAACATCATAAGTTTCGGCCGCTAACGCTATTATTAACTATATACATAGTTTTAATTAATTCAAAGCTAAATAAAACTGCATTATAGAATTATGCAATGCCAGCAAGTGACCGAAAATTTTAGTTCCATCTTGGCAGTCCTTTTCACTATTACCAAACGCCACGATTCGGGAAAAGGTTGAAGTGAAGCAGTGACATGATTTAATTAAAATTAGGGACTATGGTTTTCTTGACATTGATAGTTCTGTTTCGTTCATTGGTCGATCGGCTTTATATGTGCAGACATCTTGGCATGCATGTAATACGTCATTGCTGTAATTATTTTTGAATCCAGACCAAAAAAATGTTATTACATCATATATAAAATTGGTCTGAGTTCAAAAATAATTACCCATATATATTGTACAATCGATAATTCTATGATTATGTATGCGTATATTTTTAAAGTTAAATGCTACGTACAAAACTTACCCTAGTCTATAAAAGTATTAAATATTCTATGTATTTAATATACTGTCAATTATAAGATCATCTATTTTGTTCTCTATAAACACGCATTCTCTCTAACTTCACTATGGTCCCGTGGAAAATGCATACCAATACTACGGTTATTGTGCATCATTGCCAATTTGTAGTTTATTTTTTTTTTAAAAAGAAAAAATGATTTGATTTTCTGTAACCTTCTTACAAGTAGTACTTCTAGAAAAAATCCAAATGTGGGGCCTTTCCATACTATTCCATTCTTTGACTTTAACCGCTCTGGGAGCGAGTTTATATATTTATTATTATACTGCTTTTTGTGGATGGAAATGGAAGGGTTAGTAAACTAAAATCTAGAAAACGAGTAGTAGTTATTTTTTTAAAAGTTGGAATTCTTGAGTTCCTTATAAACTAACAAAAAAAAGCTTTTAACAGACTCCGAAACTCGGATTCTTTTCTTGGCAGACCCGCAGATTGAAGGTGATGCGAAAATAAAACGAGAAGGAATAAGAGGTTTGGTTTTATTTCATTTATCATAATATATAGTCGAATTATTATCCTAAAAATAAAATTGATATTTACACACACATATATATAATATACAAAAAGGCGAAATCGATCTTTTAGGCAATGATATTTATATTCGACATGTCTACACTTCATTCGTGTCTCCGTATTCCCTATTTATGCATAAACCTACTCACACTATCATACTTGGTGATTTGTTCTCAAGTCAATGGACTGATGATCAAGAATTTAAGAAAAGGGTGGATAGATATAAGTGGATATTTGGTGATCCCAGAGGTGTAAGTTTACATTTAATAATGTTACTTTCGGAAAACTTATTGTCGTTCTTTTTGTTTAAAAAAATAATAACCATGTTAAAACTTATTATATTTAGGAATATACTCATGAATTAATAAATTTAACTGGGAATCATGATATAGGATATGGTTCGGATATGTCGCGCCATAAGGTGGATAGATGGGAACGTGAGTTTGGTGAAACAAATTTTGATGGCTGGATACCATCAAGTTCCTCTTCAATTCCAGAAGACCCAATAAAAGCAATGAGGCATAGAATAGCGGTCATAAATTCTATGAATATAGACGGTCCAGCTTCAGATGAGGTATATATTACTTAATTAATTTCGTTAAATTAATTTCGTTAATTAACTCGTGTTAATTCATTTATTATTTATTTTTATCCAGGATTTGCGATCAGAAACATGGTCTTTTCTCAACTCATTGGCTGAAGAACGCGAACAAAATGGATATGAGATACCTTTAATTTTATTATCACATATACCAATATACAAAAGGGAGGGATTATGTATCGATGATCCAATGACTATTTTGGATAAGTATGTTTATTTACATTTATCAATTTCATTTATTTTTTTTTTACATTATAATACATTTATTTATAAATTTATTTGTTACATTTATACTAATAGCAATGGCTACATAGAAGAACAAAATCATCTTTCAAAAAATGCATCCAA